ATTCAACTTTATAATGACACTAATTGAAATTAAAATCTAAGCCCAAATATCATCGTTTAAAGGGCTTTAGATTTTGTTACACATTTACTCCATAAGCTATAAAAACAAACTATACATAAAAATAGATAATTAATTAGATAAGGTTTTATTATTAACTAATAATAGATGGACACAAATTTATGAGCCAATTTTTGTGATTGAAATAAAAATATAATCGTTTTTTGTCAAGAGAATTAGATTGAACACAAACTTTTTTGAATAACTTTGATGAATTGTTTTCTTTGCTGAAATGAATTTGACCACAACCTTGCTTAAATTTAATAACGTTTTATCATAATTGTTTTTGTATTCCTTTTTATTTTTCCTCTTTTTATAATATTATTTCCATCATCTGATTCAGATTTAAGATCGAATCTAAAAGGTAATACTTAAAAATGTAAACTACTTGTATATTAAAAATTAATCAATCAAGTATTCCATTTGTTAGTCATCTAGAGAAATTTGATCCAAAATATAGGTATAAAATGAATATACTTGTAGTACTTAAGAGCTGGCAAAAAGCTTATTACTTTTATTTGTATTTATTTTTTCACAGGAAAAGAAATAATTACTTGGTGGGAACAGCTTCTTCGCTGCTGAGATATGAGTTTAGATATGTTCATCTTTTAGAAACTTGAAACATCATCCCAAATATAACTCTATGGTTTTTAACGTCCATTTAAATCAACATATTTCTTTTAATTTCATGCCGCGAAGTATGACTGTTAAGCGCTTGCAGCTCCAGTCAAAGTTCATGAATGCGTGTTTATGGGGTTGTCGTTGTTGGTGTTGATGCTGCGTAAGTGTGTGTGTGTGTGTGTGTCTGTATTGCGCATTTCAACTTAACTGAATTATTAGCCGAGTTATGTGAATTATGATCTCTTAGTCTGATACAGCAGCCACCGACAGAGCACCTCCCCAACCTCTCCTCACTGCTCCTACTGCACTTAGCTACAGCCTGAGCACTTTCGTTAATGCATTTGCCCACTGGCCATGTGGGATTGCAGTGGCTGTTGCCATACTTGCTGCTGCTTCTGCTTCTGTTTCTGCTAAGCTCTTCTCGCTCCTGCTGTTGGTTGGCAAGGCAATTTCAGAACAATAACAAAAACAACCGCAATGAGGCAAGGGGTAAGGGGTTTGAACTATAACCGACTCACCTTACCGCAGCAGGCCACAGAAATAGAAAAGTGTCTGACGACTTGAAGTTGTGCGGTCTGGTTCGATTTTGTGAGCTACATAGTAGTTCCACAGAAAATAGGACGAGCTTTGAGGTGAAAGGCAGATAAAGAATTTGTTTACACACAACAACTAATGGCTGCAATACGTATATTATATCTATGCATTTTTATAGGCTGTTCGTTCACTGTTGCATCCAAAATAAGAACAAAAAACAAACAACATAATTAGGTTGTTGTAAAAATATTACCAATCGCCAAATCGCTAATATGGCATATAACTAGGAATCTATTTTTATTTTATTCAAAAAATAATCAATATTTGATGAGTGTTATTTTGTTGCTAAAATATAATGGTTATTAATTAAATTGTAAAGAAAAATCATTAATCATTAAATTTTTAGAGAAAGAACATAAAGGGAAATTTTAAAATCATTGTATTTATGCAATTAAGAATCCCATAAAGAGCATATTGGTAAATTCCTCGCTTTCTCAAAGTTACTATAAGTGAATAGTTTTTTTTGTTAAAAAAACAAAATAATCATTGTTTTGCGGTCCTTAAAAAAAATACGATAACAATTATATTTCTCTAAAATACCTTTGAATCACTGTTTTAATTATTTATACTGTTTGCATAATAAACAAACAAATATGGAAATTTAAAATGTAAAGAGTAGAGAAAGCCTTAACAGAATAAGAATGCCTTGACTGCATTGTTGGGTCAAATATTTCAAATGGCTCCACTATCGACCATCTTGCTGTCTTAGATCTTAGATTATATATAAATCTGAATTGTAAAATACAGACAATAATTGACCGGAACACGCCAAAAGGCAATCTGTTGTAAAAATACAAAAAGAATAGCTGTTTTGGGCTGTACATGCGCTTGACTAATTAATAATGTGATCTGATTTTTAGAGCAGATAATTCTGTTGTCAATATATAAATAGTAGCAGAAGCAAAGAAATAAAAAGCTATTAGCTAAGTACAAAACGTACATAAATCGGAATATTTGTCGCATATGCAACTATATATTAAGACCATTTGTCTTTGGTTTTAAAAGGAAAATACTTTTATTGACTAAACGAAGTATTTAGATCTAGGAAAGCGCAATAGTGTAAAGGAATTCTAAGCACAGCATCAGCTTTTCTTTAATCTGTTATTGCAGTATAGGTTCATTGATGCACTTACATAGGTGGTTCGAGCCGAACCAAAATAGCTCCGGGGTCTACTAACTTTTATGCTCTATGCACGTATCTTGGCAGGCAAGCAAGCAGGCAGGCGGGCAGGCAGTCAGCTGCCATTCAGTCTGAGGCAAATATTAAACAAAAACACTTTGCAGCCAACACTCCCAACCCCTGCAGTGAGTCCTTTGGCTACTGTGTGTGGCAGAGCTTTTGTTATATTCATGTCGTTGTTATTGCCTTTGTTTGGCACTGCATCCAGTGCTGCTCTTGTTGCTGCCACCAGCACAGCAACAACAACAAAAATACAGACACAGACGCCGAAGGCGACGCTGAAGCCAGTGTTGCCGCAAATCCCAGCAGATTGCACCGTAACTCATCTGCAATAATACAAAAGAAAGGCTTTTAGGCCATAAAGCTGCCGTCCGACCTCAGCTTGAATGTTTCGGCAGTTGGTCTCAGTGCTTGAGCTCCGATTGAAAAGTATGTCTGTGTGAGACTCTTTACGTAAGTGTGGGTGTGTGTCTGCCTGGTGATGATTTATGGCGTAGCGGCAGTTGCTCAGCTCAGCTACAAGGATTAGCATATGAAACCAAACAAAGATGTTTGTCCTTGCGCCATCCATGCGCCTTCTGTGAGTGCGTATGTGCGTGTAAGGCCGGGAAAGGACGAGCCAACTGAGAAAATCGAACCGGAAATGGCTTAAGCAAACAACACAAGGCAACGCCAGAGTGTGTAAAGCTGTTATGCCTTGTATGTGTGTGTGTGCTGTATGTGTGTGTGTGTGTGTGTAATTTGTGTGTTAAGCGTTTGCCGCCTTACCTGGCTCTGCTGACCGAGAGACAGGCTAACGGACCTACGGACTGACTACGCAGTATGCGTAATTAACCTTTGACACTAGTGCGTGCATATGTGTGCGTGTGGACGCAGACACACACACACACACACACACTCGCATTCATAACTCATTTACGTTCACGCTACGTCGCACAGCTCGCACACCTTTTGCAAATTAGTGCTTTCCATCTGATGGCGACGATGAAGACGGCCTCTGGCAATTGAGCTTTGAACTTTGCGCTCAGGGCTTGTAATTGAGCTTAAAATGATGGACGAGGAGGTGGAAGCGAGTATGTAGTTAGACGCGGAGTGGACTTAGAATACTCTGCTGCCAAATAGGGTTATCATAAGTATGATAGAGCTGCTTAATTAACAGCATTCAAATGCATGCGAAATCCATAAACATTTATGCAGCTCCCTTAAGATTCTGGATTGTGAAATTAGAAAACTAAACACACTTACCCTCTTAAGTATAAGATAAACAAGTGTGCAATCTAAAAAGCGCATCATTGTTAATTTAATTTTGTTTTTTACTTATTGCAGAGCATATCTATTATTTTAGCAGCTGTTATTCGATGAAAAACTAGAAAGCTTAGAAGAATACCAAAGATTAGACTGCGAGCTTAGAGACCTATCTACACTAGAGATCTAATAATTCTAATTTCCCGGACAACTAGTAGTCCATTTAATGAAACTTAGCTACTTGTAAAAATATGTAAGTACATTAATGTTATTTTATTGCAATATCTAATTATAAAGCTGAAATAAAAAAGACACATTAGATTTATAGGTGTTGTGGCTCTTTAAATAATTTCACTAGACCGGTAACACGAAACGCCGATAGAAACAATAATAATAATAATTATCTGAAATAATTTTAATTTATTAGTCCTTTTCTTTTGATTAACAAAAGTATTAAGGAAATATTAATACGTAAACGGCAAAAATGTATATTTAAATGGATTTACAAGTTAGATGCACATTCTGAAGCTTTAAAGCTGCCTTAAGGTATATTATATCGCTAATCTCATTCTATAATCGATCTCCCATTGCTATCAAACTTAAATTATAGAATTACGGGTACGAATGTATATCCTTATCTGATTTGTTTAAAGTGATAGCTAGTTGGATTTATTTCGATGGGTATTTAAGCAATTTGCTTAATTTAAAATGTAAAAGCCCGGATATTTAGAAGATTCGCATTCCCTTCCAGTTGGAACGAATACAAATTTGATTAATTCTTATGCTCATTCTGAAGCATTTGGTCAGCTAAAATTATGTTTTTCTCCGTTTCTTATTCGTTATTTAGTTTTTTTTTTTAACTTGATTATTTTTAAAATATGGGGTTCGCATATAGCATCATTCTCAGATGAGTTCTTCTTGAAAGAATCGAAATCTTTGTGTTGTTTTGCTTTTTGAGTTGAAACGTCATACCAGTAGGTACATATACTATCAAACATCGTTTTGCGTTGGAGCCCTCATCGAAATCATTCCTATTCTTAAAATCCCTCAACCCCATCCGATATACTTGTATATTCTTCGTTTCAGTTTTTCTAAATATCCATAATATACGAGTAAGATTGACTCCAATAACATTCTTGAACTCAAAGGCAATTGAAAGACGTTTAAATACTGGGTGTGTTTGTGTGATTTAATTGTCATGTAAGTACAATATGATATGTTTTAAAAGAAACTTTTCTGTTAGCTATTGTAATATCTCTTCCTCGCTGTCGCTCTTCATTGTTTTTCCTTCTTCGTCCACTGATCAGTGCTTACCGGACTTTTTATAGGACTTGTGCCATTTCTTTTTGTGCTCTTCGCCCCCTTTCTTGCCATGCTCCTTTTTGTGACCCCATTTTTTGGAGTCCTCGTGCTTTTTCTTGTGGCCTTTGTGGCCCTTTTTCTTGTGACCCTTTTTACTTTCGCCCTTCTTGCCGTAATGTTCCTCGTGACCGCCCTTTTTCTTTTCGCCCTTTTTATGGCTGCTGCCCTTTTTATGTTTCTTGGCCTCTTCGAAGCCACCGTGTTTTTCTTCACCGCCTTCCACATGATCTTCATCGTAGTATTTCTTCTCTTTCTTGTCCTCGTTTAGCTTGTGAACATTATGTTTGCCCTTAATGGAGTGACCCTTCTTGTAGGAGCCATGATCCTCGAACTCGCTGCCCTTTTCTCCTTTATCGCCCTTCTTCTTCTTCTTGTGATAGCCTTCGGAGTGTTCGTGTTTCTTTTTGTGGCCTTCCTCCTCGCCATGCTCACCCTTTTTGCCCTCCTTGTCGTGATGGCCCTTCTCGCCCTTCTCATGGTGCTCCCCATGTTTGTGCCCCTTTTTGCCTTTGCCGCCATGCTTCTTGTAATGCTCACTATGGTGCTCTTCACCGGACTCCTCTTCACCATGTTCATCGTGTTCTTCGTGTTTTTTTGACCCAGCCACTTGTAAATCCTCGCCTAGTCCCAAGGCTGAGGCGTCATCGAAGTCGGCTATATCCAGAGGATCCAGTCGGGCCGCAATGGCAACAGCCGCCCTGCCAGCAGTGTTGCCGACCACGCCTTTGTCCAAAGAGCAGAGAAGGGCGGCCAGACACGCCAGTATTTGCCACGTGAGTCGGTGACATTTTACGCCTCTGTTTCGCCGCTCGTATGCCATTATGTCATCCCCTCGTAGTCCTTTGAGCGAGCGTTTTTGCAAATGGTGGTCCTGGTGGTGGTGTTGGTGGTGATGCTGATGCTGCTATGACTGCCACGCCCGTCTTTCTGTTGCCTTCTGCTCAAGCACTGGCTCTTCGCTGGCGCTTTTTATGCCCTTCGCTTCGGCTACGCCTCAATGACTCAATGACCGCTTTTTGTGCGCATTTTTTTTTTTTGTGGATGCTTCGTCTGCGGCTGATTTGGCAACTTTTCTTTGTCGCCTCGCGGTAAGTGCAAAACAGTGTTGAAAAAGCAACGAAGAAAAAACTCGAAACTCTACAACTGACCAACTTCTTGCGGTTGGCATAGCGCCGGCCGGCTATTCGTTTATGGGGAACACAAGTGACTTTTGTTGCTCGACGCACTTCAATTCAATTGCAATTTCAGCCACAACGCCACTCAGCCAAGCAGTGTTGCCAACTTTTCATTGAAAGTGAACCCATTGTGGTGGAAATTGCGTAATAAAAAGCCATTGTCCTAAAATTAGTCATACAACCATAATTAATTAATAAGTTGCATACTTTTAAAAAGATGTTAGCGTTGGCAATTTTAATGTAAACAAACTAGCTTTCGATTTCCTGTTCGTGCTATAACAAATTTGAATAGCCCTAATTTATCAAAGTGGTTCAAATAAAGTGACAATTAGAAAAGGACTACATTAATTATTTTATTTATATAGTTCCGGCTAAGTATTACAGCTATGGTGAATAAAAAGTAAAAAATCCGCATGACGTCAGTCTTTTAAGACCTTTTCTTTGTTCTTCATTGAATTCAATACATATTTTCTATAGATTCAAAAGAAGTTCATAACTCTAGAAAGCTATTATTGATCATTTCTTCCACAAAATTAGAAACTTATATCTGAATTTTAAAACCAATCTTCATACAACACCAATTTTACAATAATTTTATTGATGTCAGAGACAGTTAGAGAAATACAGTAAATTAATTATAAGTAAATTTTTATTTATTTTTTTATTTATTTATTATCATAGTCAAACCCAACAACATGAAAGTTTTCTAGGTAGAATAAATCTCCTTAAAATGTATTCAAATGTTAATTTAAAGGAAATGTTGAATAGGATTCAATCATTTTTTCGATATGAGAACCAAGAAGTGCTATAATAAAACTAATAATAAAACTGTTTAAAGAAATGTGAAAGGGTATACTTGGAAGTCAAGAAGCCAAATGTATGTTCTATAACATATAGAATGGCGTGGCGGATAACAACTGCAAAAAACTGAAATGTTTATTGTACAACAATATAATGTGCTAGAACTCCATTCGATTTTGATTGAACTTGGTTGGTTCAACAGATACTTTTGGAGTTTATACCTTAGTGGCTTAATGCTTAAATACTGAATTAATATTTACAGGACAGTACCTTTTAAACCATTTCTGTTTCATCAGTATTGGTGAACGGTTAGAGAATATTTCAATAATTATAATAATAATAATAATTTGTATGAAAGGCCATGCTCAAAAGAATATTGCATTTTATACTTTTTCTTAAATTGCGAAACATTGCTTATTTATCATTAATACTTGGATTTTTAAATATTTCTATATTTTATGTCATTAAAGATAGGGAACATATTTGGCAAAACACTCTTAGTAGAAAAGCTTTTTATAAAGATTAAAAACATAAATAAAACAAATAATAACCAATAAAGTATTTATGTCGCATAGTTTTAGTAGCAGTACAGTTATTATCATACTCTATTAAAATCGATGCATTATATCGTATATGTAGCTGTCATAGGAACTGACGGTGAAAAATTAATTACTATATAGTAACAATATCGAAACCAAACTTGTAACATCTGAGAATAGGGTCTTGGCATGCAGTAACACCATAGTTTGAAGTCTTATTAAAATCTACTTAATATTCTTTTTATATCCTCTACCAGTTTGTAAAAAGGGTATATTAGTTATGTGCAAACTATGTAACAGACAGAAGGGAGCATCTCCGACCCCATTACATATTTTTAATCAGCATGACATCTAGACGTGTCGGTCCGTCTGTCTGGATGAACGCAAAAGCTACAGAAACTTGGCACAAGCAATCTATATACAGTTATCTACTTTTGTTTTAAATGTCATCCAAATCGATTAATTCTAAGAAAAGTTATTAGCGAATAAATTTCACTCCAGTTCTAAGCCCCATTTTGGGGGCGTCAAGCTCGCTCTTCCTCTTATTTTTGCTTCTGCCTGGGGCGCATATAGCTCAGTGCCGGAAATTTGTCTTGGGTACAGGGTATTACACTGTCGGGTTTGCTGGACTGTTGCGTTCTCTCTTTTTTTAATTTGCTAGGTTTCTTAATGTCTTTAAGTACATTTGGCTGGGAATCGGAATACAGCTGGCCATATGGCAAATAAATTCCCCAACACATCAGAGGCGTTCACGAAAATTATTGGATAATTTCTAGTTAATTACTGAGGCTTTCTTATATTTTAAGATTAATAATAATGTGTGTGAGGCTTTCTTATATTTTAAGATTAATAATAATGTGTGTATATTTTATTCTGTGTCCCATTATTTGTTGGTTAATAAATTAAATAAATTATTAAAGTAAATAAAATTAATTGAATAAAATAAAGAAAATAAAATATATAAATTAAGTAATTGAAATAAATTAAATAAGTAAATAAAATAAATGAAATAAATAAAATAAAACAATAAATAAAATAAAATAAAATAAAACAATAAATAAAATAAAATAAAATAAAACAATAAATAAAATAAAATAAATGAAATAAATAAAATAAATAAAATAAAATAAATAAAATAAATAAAATAAATAAAATAAAATAAAATAAATAAAATAAATAAAATAAATAAAATAAAATAAATAAAATAAATAAAATAAATAAAATAAATAAAATAAATAAATAAATAAATAAATAAAGTACAAAAATAAATAACATAAAATGAAGAATTAAAATTAAAAAAATAACAAAGATAATAATATAATAAATAAATAAATAAATTAAATACATTAAATACACAAAGTAAAAAAATAAATAAAACAAATAAAATGAAGGAAATAAATATAGGACTGTTTGGTATTGCAGTTGAGGGCTAGAGTGTGTTCAAAAGTCGGTGTCATCTTTCAACAACAACATGGTTGGTAACGTTCAGTAACCAAATGACTAAACAGGCAAAAACAGCTTCCTCAACTTTGTTCACTTTTCCCTCCCCATTCTCTTCCTCTTTCACTCTTAACTCACGTTTTACTCTGTTCCTTGTCTGCTGATTACGTAAAACGAGCAAAAAGCGGCGAAGTTGCCGCCGAAGTTTCAGGCGCTGTCGCAGTCGCAGTCGCTGTCGATGTCGATGTCGCTGCTAATGCAAAACAGCTCGATTACATTGAGTCCCAGGGCCAGACGACAGAAGACTGTCATTTCGCATTGACTGCCTTTTGATTATGATTTCTGACAGTTCGAAGCCACAACCGTGCTGCAGTGCCACTAGCAGCCATGGAAGCAATGGCAATGGCATCAGCTCAATAAGGGTAAAAGCCAAAGCCACTGCTCATATTAGGCTAATTGCTGACTGAAAAGATGCACCCACATGTGCGGGCTCTGCTCTCGTCAATCCTCATGCTCTGCTCTTGGCTGCTCTTGTCTGCTCTGCTCTGCTCTGCCCGGCTCTGCTGTGCCTGTCTGTCTGTCTGTCTGTCTGTCTGTCTGTCTGTCTGGCTCCGCTTGGCGCAAAGTTTAATCAGTGCAGTTTTTGTTTTTTTCGTTGCCTTAACTTTTTTTTGCTCATTCTTTTTTGTGCTTGTACTGGCAAATTAATTCAGCAAATTCAATAAAAACAAGCAGCATGACATGGCAAACAACTCGAATCGAATTGAATCGAATGAAATGAAATCAAAGCGCCGAGCGCGCTCACAAATAAATCACGAGGCAAAAACTAAACCGAACCGAGCCAAAATCGAGACGAACTTTTTCTACTTTTCTCACTCATTTTGTTTGGCTGCTGCTTGCTTCCATGCTTGTTTGTGCCACAACTGATGCATGGAATCGGGCGTGAGGTGGAGTCGAACTTTTTGGACTCTGCGCTGCTGCCTCTGCTGCTGCAGAGCCAAATGTCAATGCAAATTTAATGGCTGACAATTTATATGCATGCCAAGTGACTTTCGGGTTTGAACTTTTGGGTGGTGGCATGTGTATACATGCATGTATACTATGTGTGTGTGTGTGTGTGTAACCCCAAAAAGTTCAGCGACGGTTGCTGCGACGCTGACGCTGACGCTGAAGCTGGCTGCAACAGCGACGTCGACCAGGTGCCAAGTGGCTGTCAAAGTTTGCCAGGCGCATTGAAAATCGAGAATTGCGCGTTGAGTGCACATAAATTAAAACGGACGCATTGCCTTCTGCCTGCTGCCTTCTGCCTGCTGCCTAGTGGTGGTTGGCTCGGTTAAGGCGACAGCCTGTTAACGGGTTATTTATGCCATGGCTGGCATTTAAAATGCATTTCTTTCGCACAGTAGTACCTGGTAAATTGCTTTAAAGTATTTATAATGCCGCTCGTGCGCTTTATGGCCATGCATGGCGGGCACATAAATACCGAAAAAAAACAAAAACTGTGCCCAGTGCACTCTGCAACCAGACAATACTCGTACCTGACAGCTAAGAGGGATATCCACATCTTTAGCAGCAGAACTTTCCGCGCCGAGGCAGTAAATTGAATGAAAAAACAGAGCTCGCCAGGCCTTTGCCGAAAGTTGTTCGTTGCATTTAATGTCTCCAAATCACGTATACTCTACAATATAGTATAGTCTATGAATTTATTGCAGCAGCTAGACGGGGTTAAATACATTTATTTATTTTTCCAGAACGCAAACTATTGGCAATTATTTTAACTGTGTATATTTTATATGTATGTCTGAAATATTTAAAGTTAGGTCCAGGGCCTTCATTTGCAACTATATTGGTAACTGCGAAATATA